TATATATATATATATATATATATATATATATATCTAAAATGCCTCAACTTATCAGCATCTGCATGGCATTTGCATGAGATATTATTGTAAATTTTTTATTCTATCAATATTACGGTCAGATAAATTTTATTTATTTGAATTTTTTCAAGCTTTATATATCTTTTTTTACTTTTTTTCTTTTTTTTGATGGAAGTAATACGGAAGAGAGACTATTTTATAATTGTCGAGTTTTGCTGTTGCTGTGGCTGGTTAGTAAGCGTCTTGTTATTTCCGCTTCTGTGCAAGTGTTGATTTGTACATTTATGTAGTTTTAGGGGGGTACAGAAGTCTAATACAATAAAAGTGTCCGTTTGCTTAATTATTAAATGTGTTACAGGTGATGAATGAAACCTGAAGAATAAAAAAAAATCTTCTTTTTCTTGTTTTTTTTCTACTTTCATATTCGATAGTTATCGATAGTCAGTGTTTTTGTTGTTTAGTATAAGTCGGCAACAATAGAAGCTGTAAAGCGATCTATTTTGGTGTCAGTGAACCATGCGATGATAGGACAAGAAGTGAACTCACTTCTACTTAGAATTTTCCAGTTAGTAATGTGGTTATTCCTTATTCCAGCCACCAAAAGTTGCTTCGATGGTTTTGGTCACTTCTGTTACTTCTCACTCAAATCTATTAATATTCCTCGTTAAATATTGCAAAATTGGCTAAACTGTGAAGCTAAAATAATCGGTAACAGTTTTTACAAATATGTCAATACTATGTGGAAATGGAATACTGATACTAAGTGTTTACACTGTTATAATGATATTTATAAAGTTGAAAATGCAAGAGCTCGATCTTTTTTCTTTTCAGTATAGATTTATATACTGATTAATGATGGGTTTAATCAGCCTTATACAGTTCAGTCTCTGTTTGAACTGTTTAACTGAGCGCACTAATCCAGTGGTTGGATGGTTTCAGCATAAGATTCTAGCAGCAAAGTTAGTCTTAAAGAGACACTTTGTTTTTGTTTATCTTCTACCCAAATTGATTTGGTTTTTTTTCGTTAGACACTCACACCTTTGGTTTTCGAGAAAGACAATGAAGAGATTAATTTTGGCCAGGTAAAAAACAGCAATAAGTAAATAGTAAAAAAAAAAAGATAATAGTTAAATTTCAAATTGTATTTTTTGTAAAAAAATTATTTGAAATGAATATCTTTAGAAGGAAATTTTTTTTGTTTTTATCCAATAATAAATCTTTTCCTTTCTTTTAGTGTGGATAATACAAAGAAATTCTCTGTTTTTGTTTTGTTTTGATTTGGTCTTTTTTTGGTTTTTGTTGTATTGCCACTACTTACAGGCTGTTCGCTTTTACTAAAAAAGTTCATTCTTGTTTTAGACAGAATAACGTCGGGTTTACTGTTGTTTTTGCTGCCGTTTATAAAAGTATGTTATGTTAAACTTTCTAGCAAAGCAACTTTTTAGATGT